CCCCAAAACCCCAAAACCCCAAAACCCCTTGTGTTGAATTTTATGGGAGATTCACATCAGATCAAATATCGAAAAGTCAAACCTAATAGAATAAATTTGATAATATTTATTATAGCAATCAAATTAAAAATGCTCAAACTTTAATCGCATAGGTAAATCTAAAAAGAGCAAACAGTTTTGAATGAATCAAATCAGAATCAAAATGATATATCTTGCAAATAAGGTGAAGCTACAATTTAAAATAGTGAAATGAGCTAGTATTATGAATCCTAGACTAATCCACTTAGCAATCAGGACTATTTTGTGAATAAGAAGAGACCAAATTCAGATTAAAAGTCATAGCTCAATAGCAATAATAAAAATTCAAACTTTATAAATAATTTCCTCAGCAAAAACGAGAAAGAAGTCCAATGAAATGAAAAAGAATAATTCTAAGAACCAAAAGCAAAAATTAATTGCAAGATATGTGAAAAGCCATTAATTAAAACAAATGTCAGGTAACTATGTGAGGAATGCAGTCAAAGAATCCGCTTGAATATTATTAACAAAAGCTAGAATTCATTTTCAAACACCCCGAAATCTTAAGTGTAAGCTCAGAGTGAATACTATTACAAATCAGAAAATTATCCGATAAGTCAACAATGAAATTTGAATGAAACTTCGGTTGAGCTGAAAGACGAAAATGTTAGCAAAAAAATACAATTGGACCTCACTAATAATACAAACCTTCCACCTATTTATCCTAATTCTTCCTAAAAATCTCCAATAAATAAAGACTAATCTTAGCAAGCTAAACAGAAAAGTACATACCTATTGATCTTAAAGAATTAAGCAATGATCTATAATAAAGATAGTTCTAGCAAAGAGAAAAATATAGATGTCATTTTAAATTAGACTCAGGAATTATCTAGGGGAAGAGATTCATCTTATTTTGATAAAGATAAATCAAATATTGAAGCAGAAAATGATCAAATATTTCCTAGAAAAAATATCAAAATTGGAATTTTAAAACTTTCAGAAAGTTTTGATAGCTTTAAAATCTAACTTTAAAGGTAGAATATATAATAAGAGAATTAATAAATAAAGTCGCTTACCCAAATTAATTAATCAGCAAAGAATTAATTGGAACAATAGCAGGCATAGCAAAGAATTTCTGTTGATGAATTTTAAGTAAAAGGAATCGAATAAAATCTTCAAAAGTAAAGCAATTCTTATACCATCTTACCATTGTAAAAACTTAATAACTCTAAAGGAATTAAAATTTGAACTAGTGATGTTTTATAGCAATCTCTTTCAAAAATATCTTCTCTATAAAAAATTGATTTGAATGAAAATAGACAATCTATAAGTTCTATAAAGAATCCATAGATTGAAGAAACTACTATTCTACAAAATAATAGAAAATAAATAGACTCCAATCAGATCAGTAGAAAAGTCTCACATAGACTACCTACATCTGATGAAATATTTTAAGAAGATAAAAAAAGAATTAAACGATTAACTCATGATAACAGCAACGTTAACTTTATAAATGAAGATCTTCAGCATAAACCATGGTAAATGAGATAGATATGACAATTACAAACTACAATGAACAATAATACTACTATGAAATTAGGTAAACTTCAAAATTTAAATACTTCAATAAAAATGATCCCTGATGAGGCTGAAGATAAATCTGCTAGAAGGAAAGCTCTGAATGCCAGAAAGAGGAAACTTATATTGGCATAATCCAAAAAATTTATAATGAGATCAACTGATAACGTAGGTGGGACATAAGCGAGTTAATCATTAGGTAAAGATCAGAAAAAAAATGTATAATCCATTTACATGAAATCAAATATGATCCAGAGAATGATGGATCATGAAAATCAAAGGCAATAGTTCAAATACTATGCAAACCCAGCAGATACACTTGATAAAAATGCTGTTTCTTATAAGTAAATAAAAAAGGAGCCTGTATCATACAATACAATATAATCAAGATTACGTAATTATATTTTATTTTATCCTATGTTTCTTAGAGAAATGGAAAGAAACAAGAGAAATTGATGGAGATGATGATAATCATTTGTTTTCAAACAACAATTATGATATTGAGGGTTTTAACAAAGATGAAAGTAGGGAAAAATCACTTGACTCTGCATCAAGAGTTGGAAAAAACTATTAATCCTAAGAAATGTATAAGGAGCTTAAAGGTTTGCAGCCATTGACAAAAAATATCTTTCAAGCTAAGCTTACTAGAAACCTTGCAGGAAATTTCGAGGAGTAAAAATCTTTTAAAAATTCTAGTGAGTTTAGAGGTTAGGTCGAAAAAGATTATTATCAGACTACAAAACATAAACCATCATTGTTTAAATTGAAATAAAACTCATCAATAGATGAAAGAAAGAAATCTAAATTTTATGACGATTTTGTAGTCACTTCATAATCTAAACCTGCTATTAAATCGAAATTAAAAAAGAAAAGTTTGAGGCACTAACTTGAACTAGTTTTATGAGAAAATATTCAAGAAAATAACACAGGTACATAATCAGTTTAAAAAAATTTATGTCTAACTATCGACTTAAAATTAACGTAATTATAGTAATTTTCAAAAGAATATAAGAATATAAATGGCTTAAATATTACAGTTTTAATCATTAATTTCTTAACTCTGTTATATAAATTCAGATGGGGTTTTGGGGTTTTGGGGTTTTGGGG